GAGAGATTAGCTATAAGTTCCTCAGGTTAAAGAAGATGGACAGCAGGTAGTTGCCAGGGCAAACATCTAGAAGAATGATCAGAACTGTTAGCAGCCTAAAAAGAGATGAGGGACTTCCAAGGTAAATCCCTCCAGACCAGCAGTTCTCAGCAAGAGGTAATTTTGTCCCTCTGCAGGCAATATCTGCAGAATTTTTGGGCTGTCACAACTGCCTTGGGGTGCTGCTGGCATCCAGCAGGTAAAGGTCAGGGATGCTACTGAACGATGCACAATGCACAAGCAAAGCACATTGCTCATCCAACTGTCAGTAGTGTAGAGATTGGGCAACTGCCTAAAATGTTTCCTAAATTCCTAAGGTGATAGTTTGAGATAATTGCAGAATTGATTAATTGGGTAAATGAGGCAAGATTGGCGGGTCAGCAATAGGAAGATCAGCAATAGGAAGATCAGCAATAGGAATATAAAATCTCAGCCTAGTTCTCTACCAATTAATTTCTGAAACAATTTTAGAAAGCAAAGATGAAATGACAATACTAAGTAGCATTGACAGGGCATGGACAGAATCAAAAAAGCAACGGCAAACTAAGCACCTAGTAGGTGGTAACTTCTTAGTCCTTTGCTATAAATAACTTACATGACATTCAGTGTTCCCAAATTAGATGGCACACAGTGATAATGATGTGCAGACTTAGTTTTTTAATGATCACAGACTTAAAGTTTAGATTAAATGGCAGCATTTAAATATTGGGAGATTTTCCATCATGATGCAGATTCATTTTTATGGAACAAGCCAAAAAATAAAACTGAAAACAAAATAATATATTCCCTAAAGAGTTAGTCCCTGCTGAATAATGGCTGCCCACTGTGGAAGGGAACAATCACCAGAACTGCTTCGGTAGGTTACATTACCTGCTTGTTTCCGCAGCAATTCCGTTTGTACCTTCTGTCTTGAAAGATTGTATTCATACTCTTTTTATTTCACTCATTAGGATGATACTATATAATGATAATGTGTTTCAGAATACGATTTGCAATTTTGCCTAGATTAATTTTCATCAAATCAATTTTGTACTATCTTTTGGCTACTTTTATTTTAATCACAAAGTTGACTTTTCTATGACTTTCTCTTGAATTTTTTCACTTAATCAAAAAGTAACTAAAGAGTGAAGAAGACACACATGCTCCTACTTTATCCATTGGGGTAGAGAGACACAATATCATTTCCTATCCATTTTATCAGCTCATTCATTTTCAGAATATAAGATGTGAATGAAAATGTCCCCTAAATAAATATTTTGACCACTGTGAGAGTAAACTGCCAAAGACAATTTACTGAAATCTATATAAAATAAATTTTAGAATAAAAATATTGAATACTGATATTGAAGGTACTGATAGCCAAATTGCAAATAGGTATTTTACAACATCAGATTGAATCATTAGGAAGTTACAAAAGTTTGATTCTTTGAATAACTTGTTCAAATCAATACACAAGAGGAAATTGATTAGTTTTGCTATTCATATACTATAGGTGAGATTTTACATTGTGTATTCTGTGCAGAAGAAAATTGCAATCATTTATCTCAAATGTAAGAATAAATTCGCTATTTAGAATATAATTATTCTATTTCTATAAGATAATTGTTCTTATATTTTTTGAATCAAGGTATATTTATACTCTTAAAATATTTACCTATGTTTACTGTATGAGGGACTTAATTTAGAAATTTTTAGAATTATTTTTAAAATTTCTCAAATATCAATATTCCATTACACAGCAATACATATGGTACATTTTTATAAGGAACTATATTTTCCACAACAAAAAACTCAGTGAGAATTTAAAAAAATCTCTTTGCCTCTATTAATTGAAAATAGTTTGATTATCTTACCTGCTTATACATTTAATCACTTGTATTATATCATTTTGGGTAAAGTCTACAAAGAAAAATCCAGCCACATGCATAGTTGGAAAGGAGATGGTTCATGGGCCCCTTTGAAAGAGTTTTAGGGATTGTCATTCCCAAATTGTTGGCTTATAATTCCCCTGTGGGGGACAGTGATGCTAATTTTGTGTATTGTTGCCACATATTTAATTGAACATTAAGTGTTTCTCTGAAGGTACTGTTTTGTAGGTGTGATTAAAGTCCCTAATGGTGTAATAATCAGTTGACTTTAAATAGGGAGGTTATCCTAAAAAGTCTGTGTGGGTGTGCTTCAGTCAGTTAAAAAGCTATAGAAACAGGTTTGAGACTTCCCTGAAGTCCCATCTTGGATAGCAGCTCCAGCTCCTGCTTGAGAATTTCCGTCTCCCCTTACTGGTGGCCTATGCATTTCATACTTGTCTACCCAGCCCCCACATCTGTGCAGGGCCAATTCCTTACAACAAACCCCTTAGTAACTTTTTTCTTCTCTCTCTCTCTCTCCCCACCATCCCTTCTTTTTTTTCTTTTTGTTTTGACAGGATCTCAGTATGTAGCCCAGGCTGGACTAGAATTTAAGATCCTCCTGCCTTAGCCTCCCAAGTACTGAGATTACAGGTGTGACTTACCTAATTGGCTTAATACAATAATTATATAAAATCCACAAGCCAGAAATGGTCACTATTAGCTTTAGAGGGGAAATTTATCAAATGGCCACAGCCACCAGCAGCTCTTAGTCCTGATTCTTAAATTCCTGGTTCCTATTCCAACCTTTTAATGATCTTTATCCTTTTGCACAATAACCTTCTAATATGTGTGAAAGGATATTTGCAGATATAGATGCTTATATTACTTCATACACACATACCACAAAAGGTTCCTTGGAAATGTTAAATGGATCTAAAACATCTTTTATACAAACATTCACAGTATATATACCAAGAACCATATCGAATATTTTTACATATCTATTTCTAAGCTATGAGTGAAAAATGATAAAAAGAAACCCAGGGCTTCATTTTGTATTCACAGAGCTTATAATTCATCTGGGGGAGAGAATATTATTTCTTGAGATTTGAGATATTTGATAAAACACCAGAAAGCTGATTCTACCAGCACTTTTTTGAGCCTCAGGCTGGCACAGGGTCATATGCATATTTTTCAGCTACTAATATTATTTAATGGATTTTTCATCCATATCTGATGCCATCATTTGGCAGAGAGTTTATGGAAAACAGGGATGATGACCAATCAGCAGGTGATTAATGTTGGCATGCTGACTGATGCCTGAGAATACAGAGAGTGGGTAAAAACAGAAAGGTGAAAAAGAAAGTGGAAAAGTTGGTAGAAGTGGCAAAATGAAACAATGAAGGGAATATTACCTTCAAAAAGGAAATAAAAGAAAACTGAGTGAGTCAGAGATGTGGGTATGTGTTAAGGAGTAACAAGAAATTTTTGTGAATAACTGAAAGATTTCCAGTTTTTGCAAGACTGACTAAAGATCTTGTATTTCCTTATAAGCAACAGAGGGCAGAGTGTCTTCACTAAGCTTAGGTGAGATAGATCTGAGTGTGTCCTACTTCTGCCATATACTAGCTGTGTGTTCTTTGATACATTACTTAACCCCTTTGAGCCTCAGTTTCTACATCTGTGAGCTTTAAGATAGTTTTGCCCTTCGTTTTACAACACATACAGAACCGGGACTATTACTAAGCAGCTTCCCATACAGCAAAAATATCAATAGGATAAATCTCACATTTTTTCAAAACTGTACAATTTTAATAATCTGTGTGTACTGAAATGTGAAGACAAGTAGATCTCCATATAAAATACTTTAGACTTAGCTTGGGAGGGTAACACTCAGTAGAATTATGATATAGTTGTTAATTTAAGCTGGAATTCTAGCCTCAGAGACTAGTGGTGTATATGTGTTTGTGTTGGAGTGTAATAGATGTGAATTCCCTTTCAAAGGAGTTAGATATTTTAATTGCATATTTTTAGAAATCATTGATAGGGATAGTTGTATAAGAACATGAAGGAAAAAATGAAGACAGTAAATCACATAATCACCTTTTAAAATAACTAACTGCTCACTGAATGCATATAATCAAATGATTTCTAGGTGGAAAAGGTGGATTTTCTCAACATACATTTTTGTTAGGTCTTGTAGCTATCCAACATTACACATTTGTAAGGTAGCTGCTTGTGGCAGAGGTAGAATGAGACCTGGAAATAAGTAGGTGTGATATTCATCTAAAAATAAAATCTTTGTACTAATTAGATGTGCTAATTAGGAGTGCATGTGGCTCACATTCTAAAATTTCTAAGAGAGAGATAACTATGAATTGACAAAGTTAAAGAAATAACCTTGGCCAAAAAAAGAGAAGATGAAATAGAGCCTTAAAGTTATGTGAGCCATTATTAGCATATTATTGATAAGGGAGGCTGAGATTTATAAGGATTAAATCATGTGCCTGAGGTCACATATCAGTGTCACAGCCAAGACTACCTTGTAACTTCTAGAAATGCATGTACTTCCTTCACTTCACACTGTATTGAGGTTACCAAAATTTATATATTTCTATTCAACTGCTTTCTACCAAATTCAAAGAACTTAAAGAAAACAAGAATTTATTAGGTTACAGAACAGCAAGGTCCAGAGATCTAAGGATTCTAAAGATGTCATCAGCTTGGAAGCGTCAGACAGACAGACAGACAGATGCACGTGCATGTGCACACAGAGATTCAACCTAGAAAGCTAAATGGAGAGTCTTTCCTGACAAATTTTACATTGCTAAATCCTGGGAAGACTCTGATTGGTTCATTTTGAGTTGTGTGCTCATCTCTAGACCAATCACTGTTCCATGGGGATGGATATTCTTGATTCACCAGATCATGTGAGCAACCCTGTGTCAAAGTCATCATTTTTAACCACACGGAGTGTGTACATTATAAGAAAGGAAGTTTTCTAACTAAAGGGTCAGAGATTCTAGATGAGCCCTGAAATACAAATGTATATTGCAATCATATTGTAAAATGTAACTTCATGGAAGAAAATGCACAAGAACAGAAACTTACCAAGCATAGGAATATGAACCCGATGTAGTGTTGCTTTTCTTCTAAATGACTGATGTCAAAATCTGTAAAAGTAAAGATAAAGAAATATTTATTTCTGAAGATAGAAGATTGATTCACTATGGTTTCCATCTGGATAATCTTTTCCATACACGCTCTTAGTATATTGAACATTTTATATTCATAGATCAGTGTCTGGCATTTAATGAATGTTAGTTCTCTTCCTTTGCACATATAGTCAAGATACAATTGTTCAATTCATGCCAAGGTCAAGGTCATCCCATTTATTAGCACAGGCTATGAAGATTTCTATGGGGATTAATCCAGTGTCATTATGTTATGAAATTGAAGAGTTAAAATACTATGCAGTTTCCTATTTGTGGTTTTCAACGTTTAGGATTTTGACTACCACTGTTCCCCAGATAGCATACCTTTGCTCTTGTGATTTCACAGCACATGTTTCCTGCTTTCTGAAGATGACAGCAGCCCTGCATATTTTGATTTTCTTTATGATTTCAATTCACATGAATCTTGATTAATTTGGCTTTAAGAGTGTCATGATTTAAGTGGACACATTGTGGAATCTGGCAAAATTGGGGTTCTATGCTCTCACATTTGAAGAAAACCAAAGATTTAAATGGAGGGTAAATTCTCAAAAAAATTATCAGAAGGGCTGGGGATTTAGCTCAGTGGTTTTGCCACCTGCCTCACAAGCTCAAGGTCTCAAGTTTGATCCCCGGTACCAAAAAAAAAAAAAAATTATCAGAAGAATGAAAAAGAGGCATGAGTGCCTTTGTAGACTTACTAACATTTATCAAAGCTAAAGAGGTAGTGTATAGTCATAGATAGGAGTTACGGCTTTTAAATTAAACAGTTCTGGGTTCAAGTTCTTCTCACTAGCTGTGTATCATAGGCAACTTTTTTTTAACCTCTTTGAACTTTAGTTCCTCATCTGTAATGTGGATGCAATGCTACCAGCTAATTAATAGATAATTCACATAAAGTGCTTGGTGCCCTATAAGTTCCAAGATTATCCATTGTTTTATGACAGTCGTAAGATAATTTATATATTGACTATGAATTAAAGTTAGAAGGGAAATAGCACATAATACAGTTCCTAAAACATAATAGGCAAGACCCAGGCAGTTGTGGAACTGAATACTAATTTTCACTGACAGAGGTGAGGTGCTTATCTTTTCTATTTTCTCCAAGGAGCTTTCCTAAATTTCATTAGTCTCACAATCCATCTCCCTTTGGACTCTGGATAATCACAGGCAGATTTATTTCTTAATTATAGATTGCTCACAACATAAGCTGTTGCATTAGCATTCTCTCCAGTTTGAATTTAAGCAATTTTTCTGTAGGAATTAGATCCTGATTTTTATTTACTCTGTGTAGCACCATCCTTTGCTTATAATAATCAATACTTGTCAATGAATTGGGTAGGGGAAGGAAGTTCTTTTTCTCCTCCAATACTTTAAAATCAGACTAGATTGTTTTACATAAATTGGCAACAGATCCACATATGAGTAAACACTAGATATATGGATTGGGATGAGAAAACTTCTTACTACACTGTAAGACTTCTCAAGGTCTCTTTTCATAAAGATGTATGTAACATCCATAAATATCAAATCCTTATCCATCCACTGTCTCACAAAAGCCCAAGTATGCCTGCATGTTATTGCTATTAACATTTTAGGATTCTTCTACATAAAAGGCATGGAAGAAAACATCATGGAAGGAGGAATTTTTGGTAGTTCTGGTTACTCATGCTTAGGGTCATTCTGCCATTATGTCAGTGATAGTAGATACAAGTTCCTAACTGTATGTTTATAAGCAGCTCTTACCCCAATTCTATGTTGAAACAAACTGCATTGGGCCAAATACTATGAGCTGACAACTTATCTTGATTTTTCATCAACTTCAATAGGGATTAGTATTCTATAATCATTATAGCTAATTTTTCTGGGAAAGTCTTGGGAAGGATGCATTCAGATTAGCTTTATGAAGTTCAAAGTTCAAATTGTCATATATCCTCATTTTTTATATTCTAATATTTCTGAAATTGTGGTTCCTTTTACACTTGATGTATATATTTAATAAAATATTTTTAATCCCAAAATGTTACAGTGAAATATACAATGAAAGTTATAATTGATGTCATCTTAAACAAGATATATGGTAGTACTATACCTCATATATTAGACAGTCTTATTCAATAGGTTATGGCTTGGTTTTATATTTTGCTGCATGTATCCTATTGAATAGAACTAAGAGGTGATGATGTTCTTGAGAACTATGAAAACCAACTACATTCTGAGAATTGCCGAATCACAACATGAGGGGTGCATTAAGCTTGGATTGCAGTTATGTCTACCCTAGAAAAGGTCCTCCAGAAAAGCAGTAACAGCTTTTTCTCATCAACAGAAGCCACTGGACCACTATCACATGTAAAATGGAGTAGTGGCTGATTTTACACAAAAGGGCCAATGTTTGCCTTTTTCTTTAAATTCTTCTGACATGTTGAACAGTTAGTTATAATGTAAGGGAAAACCTATCTATAGTCCATTTTACTCCTTTTACCTTTTCTTTCCATTTGACAGGTAAATATCTCCACATGGTTCACAACAAGGCTTTGGATAGTTTCTCTGATCCATATACATTTACTTGGTGAAACTCTCACTGTAAATTTTGTAGTTTTCTTAGGAAGAAAAACACCTTGCATATTTTCCAACAAGAACCTCATTTCTAAGTATATGAACATTATTAGACACAATTTTATATTCCAATATAAAATATATTTTCTTAAATTTTTTTCTTAGCCATAAAAAGAAAAACAGGCATACTGTGTATTTCTGGAAATCAGAGGCCAGGCTGTTATGAATTCATAGAGCAATGTCTTTCTCTTCTCAATAAGCCAACTACATGATACCATCCTAAATTCTGGGAAAGTTCATGACTTAGTAGAAAACCATAAACTGATGAGTATTAAGATTTACCAAGATTACACCTTAGGCATGGCTTTGGCTTTCAGGGACTATTTGGTAGGGAATATCATGGAATTCATATCTAGGCAAACTAAGAGAATCAAGATTTTGGGTCCTCAATAGTGGATGAAACCAGAACATTGTTATACCTAAAATTTGCAACTATTCAGTTATATTCGTTAAACAAGGAAACCAAGAATTTCCTATAGGCATTGTGTGAATTTCCTATAGGCAGCTCCTGGGGGAAAGTATGCATTGAAATTAATTCAGACAGATGTAGTTCTAATTTTATCTCTACTACCTTTTATTGGGTATTTGACCCTCAAAAGCTACCTTATCCTTCAACTTTAATCTCTTCAACTGCAGCATAAGCATCATCCTAACTACATAGTGATACCTTTTACACACACACATATATATGTAAGTTATATGTGTGTATATGTGGCACCATAGAGTCTGTATAAATATACTAAATCGGGCATAACAACTACTCAAACAACAGTTGCTATCATTACTGTACTCTGCCTAATATAACCATAACCTCAGGTACCTTCGCAGCTCTCATTTTTTGCCACCAATATGATAAATGCATAATGCAATTTATCTCCTAGGCAATGATTTTTATCACCTCACTCCCACCTCCTTGTTGGTTAAGAGAAAAGGAATCATTAGGATTAAATACAAAAGTCACAGAAATGACTCATTTGTAGGAAATACTATTTGTGAAACAGAATAATTATTTACTTTAGATGGGGGAAGGAAATTCTAAACAAATTTATCTGTAAGCCTCACCATTTAAAAATCCCCCTGTACTTCTGGTTTCTAATTCTCATGCGAGGAGTTTTGAAGCCAACACTCCACCCTGAAAAGCCTGCACAGACTGAAAGAGCAACAGCTCCTCTTGGATCTGTAAGAGGTGAGGACACAGATGTATCACTGCTCCCCGACAGAGACAGCCAGACACACACAGGGAACCACAGCTTACCAGAGCAGAATGTGAAATGCCAGCTGCCATGGACGCAAGTGTCAGGCTAGGAAAACCTGAAGGGTGACTGGAAAATTGCTTGAGACTTAGTGTGCTCAAGTCTAAGAATTAAACTCCAGGAGGAGGTAATGATGGTGGTCTCCACACCTACATGAATTTTGCCTCCAGTAATTTAACCAAGTTCTTATAGCAAATAATAGAGAAAAACTCCATGCTTCTGTCCTCCATGCTTCTGTCAGCAAGAGGTGAAAAGGAGCAGTCCTCTCTTTTAAACAAAATCTGCCCTCAGAAGAAACTATAGTCTGCTGGAGTTTTATCAGAGCCTTAATAACATTGGGGAAGAAAAATACCCAACTCCAACTCACTCCAGCCTTCCTCATGAGAGAACAGAAACTCAGTCTGAGTTCACAGTGGCCATCCTTTCTTATGTAACAGGGAAGAAAAAAACCAAGATGCATTTGTGAAGTTCACAGTCCAGGGACAAAAACTCACTAAAAGATTGGAAGGGAATTGTAGGATGACAGGACAGTTCTCCGTCCGCGTCTTACCATTATATTATTAAAGGTCTTATTTGTAGGTGCCCTTTTTACCTGCACATCATGTCCAGCTATCATAAAAAATACAAAGTATACTAAAAGGTTAAAAATACACACACACACACCTTGAAGAGACAAAGTGACCACCAGAACCAGACATAAAAGGACTCTCTGAGCTTGAGAATGTATCAATAGCAACATCCCAAACTGGAAAAGAAAAAACCACTAAAACCAGCGCAATCTAGAGAAGACTATGGAAGGACTGTAGGACAACTACATAACTGTAACACATGCATAATGGAAATATCAGGAGGAAAAAAAGAATAAAAGAAATATTTGAAAGAACAGCAATTGGGAATTTCTCCCAATTAATGTCTAACATCTAACCAGGAAGTTCAGAGAACATTAGCCAGAATAAATGCCAAATAAAGTACACATATCAAACAATGAAACTACAGAAAATCAAAGATGAAGAAAAAAAAATTCTGAAAGAAGTCAGAGTGGGAGAAACGCCATACAAGTAGAAGGAGCAAAGATAAGAATTGCACCTGGTT